CATCGGCGACTATGTCTTTATCGGCCACACAATTGACTGAGATGCAACGAGAAGATCTGCCTCATATTGGGAGAGCACCAGAAAATAGAAGATTAGGGAGGCTGTAGACAGCTTGTTTCAAAGAAACCTGATGAGCGGAAGCTTGGAAGATGGAAGAGTCAGCGATGATTTAGGAGCGCTAGACTATGGATATAGGTGTGCCAGAGATAGGTCTTCAGTATGTTTGTGTGCGCTTTTGTGTATTTTTTGAGTTTGCCCCTTAATGAGAAGTGACTGATGATATGCCTTATCAAAAAAGGATGGGATACCAACCAATGCACAAAATTTATTAGTACCCTTAGATTAGGTGGACTGTCAATCTGATAGGCAAGAAGAGTATGATTTATGTGATTCAAGATTATAAAAAGGAACCGATAGATTTTAACACCGGCGTCTCCGAATCAAGTCGGACTCAAGGCCCTAAAGAATAAGATGAAACAAGGGTGGGGATGAGAAAGAGGATGGCTGGGTGATAGGTCTGAAGCATAGGGAGGAGAAGATGCCTAGTTATGGGCATCACTGGTTCGAAATCCTCGTATATTACGTAAATGGGGACGGGGATTGAAGGGTCACGGACAGTCAGACGGCTATTTTGATTTTTAGCAGATACCAATTGACAAGCGGAGAGGAAGGGAGGCTGAATGAAAGTCACAAAACTTGCAAGCTGCATCTGAAACCGGTGGTCGAGATGATTTTGCCTCATTAAATCTACTTGTAGCGACATTGGATGAATCAAGAGCAAAATTGCGTGAATAGGTAAATAGGTCATATGAAGCGGTGTTAAGGGAAAGAGATGCACACTAGAAGGTATGACAGGTAGGGACGAGTATTTGAAGCCAAAATGGTTCAGCCTAAAACTGTGTAAGGGAATTGCCTTCACTTGTCGCTTTGATAAGTTATAACTTGGTGCTAACAGTGGCGTACATTACTGACGATGCCTGCGACACGTACCAAATCAATGTTCAAATGCCGGAAATTACGAATACTATTGCAGCGGACACAAGACTGGGTACGTTCCACAAAGTCTACTTGATGTTTGTAGTAAATTGCGAAAACGAGGTCAAAACAATATTATAAAGGTAACGGAGACTGCGACCAAACAGAAGGCTACACTATCTTGGTCTTCATACTACGAAACTACTTATCATTTACTTTTAAAACCAATTAAAAGTGGTTTAGAATTTTCTAAAGTAGAATGACTCTTTAAATTACTATCAATACACGAACCCGCTCATATAGGCGAGCTCAGCATTTTATTGAATTAACGTTTATATTACTTTGTTTTCAAGTATCTTAAAGAAATATATTTGGACCCTAGCCAGTCTGAGATGATATTAGACTCGATATCTGGATTAATTCTTTTGAACCATAATTTGGTATATATATATATATATAGCGCTCTATGTAGAGCTTCTCCAGTGAAATTAGTCGCAGTTGCTTGGATATAATCTTTGATTTTTTATTCTAATTTTTGTCCCTTTGGCCAAAGGTCTAGCAGCTTAAGTAAACTAAGCTGCTTTTCTATAGAGCGCTTAAATTCCAAGTATTTATCGTCCTTCTCCTTGGCTACAAATGAAACTTTCTCAGGATTCATGTTTGTTTTAAAAGCTATATTATTTCTATGTATTTCAGGCTAAGAATTCTTCTCATATACTTATTTTGATTTACTTTACTATCTACACTTATGCCATAACTCTTTGCCTTATACTTGTTCCCCTTTATAAATAAGTAATCATTTTTATATTTGCGTAAACATTTATTTTTTAAATAGGCAAGTAGGGTGGATTTCGGTGGGTTTAAGAAACAATGTGAATTTTAATAGCCAGTTAGCTTGAATTGGTTGTAGGAATAGTAACATGTTCTGCTGATTACGATAATATAACAACTTGAAACACATCAATTTTTCAATTGAACTGAATGATATTTCTTGAGAATTCCGTCAATCAGAATGGGCTAGTAAAGCCGAACAACGACTGAATAAGAGAAATCCTCCATCATCTTACTTTAGTCTAAATAAAATTTTACTAAAAAATACTACAATTTCACTTTTATCTCTTAATTTCATTTATAGACTAATATTTACGATTTGGCTATAGACCTTAAAAAGCCAAGATATGATCAACAAACCTATGTTGGCAGACTGAAACACTTTTTTAGCATAACAAATCCATTAAATTGTATAAAGACTTCATCAGAGCTTGATGCTGCCAAAACGGTCATACACTCTTACAGAAACAAATTACCATTGCCTGGTATGACAGAAGACAAGCTCTGGGAGTACAAGAACATCTATGATTCAGCTTTTCATCCCGAAACAGGAGAAAAAATGTTTATTCTCGGCAGAATGGCATTTCAAGTACCAGGAAATATGGTCATCACGGGGTGCATGCTACAATTTTACAAGTAAATCATTTTTGATATTTTAGACCATTTTATCCACACCAAGATAAAGAGTGACAATCATTCTCTTCTATAGAATCTGACATTTATTTTGCTCAAATATTGAAATGCTTATGTCTTTCATACTCAAGCGACTTAAAATTTTGTTATTAAGCTTCTTAATATTGAAATTTGTGATAGAAAATAATTGGCATAACATGACTGGGTTAAAGCCTCAGTCTCATTACGCCTCTTGATTATTTTCTT